CCAGCCTCTTCTCCGTGGTGCCCAGCAACAGGACAAGAGGCAACGGGCAGAAACTGAACCACAGGAAGTTCCATCTGAACCTGAGAAAAAACTTCTTGACCGTGAGGGTGACAGAGCGCTGGAACAGGTTGCCCAGAGAGGTAGTGGAGTCTCCTTCCCTGGAGATATTCAAAACCCGTCTGGACGCGATCCTGGGCAATATGCTCTAGAGGACGCTGCTTGAGCAGGGGGGTTGGACTAGATGATCTCCAGAGGTCCCTTCCAACCTTGGCCATTCTGTGATTCTGTGATTCTTCACTTAGGCAAGACCTGACAGATGAATCACAGCTGAAATGCAATGATTACAGATGGTACAGGACAAAAAGGTAACCTACATCCTCAGGATGCTGATACGGGGTTCAAAAGCATAACATACGTAGAAGAACTGTAGGAGGGCAACTGCTCATGAACCTCCAAACATCCCATCTTGGGAGACAGAACTGTAAATAAGAACTGTAAAGAACAGCTCAGGAACACTCTACTGTTTATACCTGTGTACAGGAAAAAGAGGAGGGGGAGAAGAAGGGATGTGTGCACAACTGTTACAGATGCTAATGTGATAAGAAGGTCCTTGATCCTGGGTTGCACCATAGGATGTTTTTGTGGGATTTCACTCAAGTTTTGCAAACACCTTCTGGCATGTCACTGCAACACTCTGTAGATGTAAAGGGAAAAGACCCTTTTTCGGAACAAAGGCTGTGCAAATGAAATCAGGACTCCCAAGGCAGAATCTTATTTCCGTTATGTAGTGAACAAACCCAGACCCAAACTTTCCCTCTGCAGATTACACAATTTGGTTGCACATCACGTTCACATTCATTCACATCACAGTTCTGTTAAGGGGGGGCAAAAGAGAGACAGATGCCCCTCAATGCAGAGAATTTAATACAAAGGCAAAAATTTTGAAGAAACGTTAGGCTGCTTTACAGAGGAGTTCCCAAAGGGTAGGCCATAAATCCTTCCAACTGTTAAAGCTACAAAAATGTGAAGATACAGCACTGCAGATTACATTTTGTTAGGCTGCTCCAGCTTATTAAACGGCCATCCCTGAATTAGAGATTGCTGTTCAAGAGAATCGGAAGGCTAATCTAATTTCATATTAAGTGAGAGGCAGTGATTTCAAGTTCAAGGTGTCCAACAGCACACTTACCAATGTAATTTACACAATCAGACAAACTCCGAGAAGCAAAGGGTCCTTCGTAGACAGTTCTGCTTTTATCAAACAAATATACCATGTAGCTATCCCAGCCTCTCTGGTGAGAAAAGAAAAGAGAATATAAACAGAACAAATCCCAAGCACAGCTCCTGCTAACCCAGAGGATGCTGGTTACTGGCAGATAGTCTCCTCATTTGGTACCATACAAAAACTGATGTTGATGGATCCGAGAAACACAGTATCCTCTACTAGCAAGTTACTTTATTTAAATATTGAGACAGAGTCTAACCATAGGAACCTGTTTACATTATTCTATAAAGGAAATAATGCTAGACCTTATGAGTTACTAGGCTTACAGAGCCAACTGTCTCCACTGGGAGGAGATCAAGAAAAACTATCTTCTCTAAGATTTTAAATTCCCTCAGAATGTAAAGGACATTGAGTAAACAGAGAAAATCAGAATCATTCTTACCACGCCATCAATAACACATTGGGAAGCAGGTTTCCGAGGGTCCAGGCAAATTCCTGTCTCCAACAGCAGTTCCTGATTTCCAGTACTTATTCCAGTTTCAAACTCGATGCGAATTTGAAGCGAATGAAGGCTTTCCTCAGGATGCAAGAGAAATGAAACAATCTTCGCAGAGGTCATATTTAGGATGTGTACTATCTGTAAAAGAACAGGACAAATTGATTACAAGTCAGTGGCTACCAAGGAGAAGTGACATCAAAGCCTCAATGATATACTCTTTGGGAGGGAGTACGTAGCAATAAACATAAACTAGACGGATAGCATCACTTGAGGTTTAATGACAATAATCAAGTGCAGGAATAAAGTTCCACATAATAAAACTCCAGGCCTAGGTCTGTAAATTTTAACTTACTGTCAAAGAAACTAAAACTAAACCCACAAATAGCTTTCATGAGCTATGCTGCTGCTGAATTACACAAAACAATAGTGACAAGCCAGCACAAAGGCCATCTTGTCTCCTGCAGTCTCTAACACTGACCAGTACTGCTCCCAAGAAGGGGAGTCCTTTAATCCCTCCATAAAAAAGCCACTACGTATCACTGCTTGCCTTCTTCTCACTACTCTCAGGCCTTCTCTAGTTCTACCGTGTCTGTGCAGAGGTTGTAGGACCCAACAGACACAATACACAGAGGCTGACCAGTCCAAATTATTGGCATAACATTTTCTCTTTCAGTCCATAATTCCTCTGGAATCCTTCCAGATCAGATCAAATTATCCTGTGGCTTCTACACATGCTTTCCTGAGCTGGTCCCATTCCAGCAAAGCTCCAAAATTTACTCAAAGGGAAAGGGCCAAGTGAAAGAAATCTCTGCTCTGGTAGAGGTACGTTGTGCCCTAGACCTGGGGGTCACAGCATCAGTAACGGAGGTCAGGAAAACTATTAATAGTAAATATTTCACCATCATTTGAACTTGTTGAGTCCTTACTGAGATGTGAGGCACAGTAACATACGGTCATTCTTCTCTTTCAAGAGTAAAGCTAAAGAGATTAATATAGCTGGTGATATTTCGCCTTCAGATATGCACGGGGTATGCGGTATGTATACTCACCCGCTCACTTTTATCAAGAGAAACAGTCCTCGTGATGTTGGATGAGGGCAGGATTATAGCTTTGCTCCACTGAACCCACTTACTTTCCTCAGAGATGTTTTCAGTCAGCCTTCAAACCAAGTAACAACCCTATACGTACCTTCAAATTCAGTATGTGATCCATTATCAGGAAACACTTTGGACGACTGGTTTCGGGCTCTACACCTCCACCTCTCTGTTGTGGATCCCAGTTCAGCATCAGCTGTAACCAGTTTTCCATCGGTTCTACAATTAAGCTAAACCAGAGGAGCCATAAGAAAGAGAAGACAGATATTCTACAATGGTAAGTCCACTTAAGAAACTTGGTTCTCACAAAAGCAATGAAGTTACAATAAATACTTTGTGGATTAGAGATCACATGGTATGCAAAATAGGCTGAGCATGTGTGAAAAGTGGTGATTTTGCTGAAGTTGCATATCCTGGCAGCAGGAAAAGCATGGAAGGGGAGTAAAGCACATACAGAGCGAACATCGTCGCTCCAACAACAAAGCCTTCGTTGACCTCAGCGAGAGCACGCGGCTATCCAATATATTTACCTTTCACTGTACCTCTCCCTCTTCATAAGTGCTAGGCACTGAGTCAAAAACATCTTAATAGAACAATAGATCGACTAATTTCAAATTAGACTAAGAAGGGAAATTGGTTTTTCAAAACAACTGTGACAACACTGAAAAGCAGCTAGTTTTCCAAGCAGTGTCTCCAGAATAACCATCTCTGTGCTGCAGAGCTACTCGGAAGGGTCTTCTCCATGTTCATCCACACAAGAAGCCTCTGGTTTATTGTTCAGAGCCTCCTGAAATACTGTGCAAAAAGCTCAAAGCACTAGATAGCCATTTACTTCATTCTCAGCTCCAATACTTTTCCTAGAAACCTGCCAGTGCCAACGAGTTGTGCTGCACTTGCTGGGTACCTACAAAGACACAAATGCTAAAGGTGGCAAATAATCGATGTCTGACTTCTCATTTGGCACAGACCAAATAATCCACATCAGAGGCACCCCTGGGGATCTCTAGCCTGACCCTGGTTCACAGCAAGGCCAACATCGCAGCTACATCAGATTGCCCAGGACTGCCCAGGCGAGTCTGGGAAATCCCCAAGGATGGAGATCCCCCACTGCTTGGTGCCCTGTCCCAGAGACGTACTACTAGTTTAGGGAAATTTTTTTCCTACATGCAAATTGTGATTTTCCTTGTTGCAATGCGTGCCGTAGCCTCTTGTCCTTTCACCATGACTCTCATGAGAAGAGCCTGACTTCTTTGTCTCTGTAACGCTCCACTATATAGTGGGGGACACAACTAGATCCCCCTTCACCTTCACTTTTCCAGACTAAACAAGCCCAGCTGCCTGGGTCTCTCCTCATACCCTCTATGCACCCACCTCCAACCATCTTTGTGGCCTCCGCTGGACTCGCTGCAGTTTGTCAACCTAAATACTAAAAAATACAGCTTTCATGGAGCACCTAATTCAAGTATCTGCCACCAAAGTTACATTAGAAGCCTTTAAAACTCGGCTTATGAGATTCAACATCATCAAGTATCAGGTAGATATTACTCAGTGTCCTTGTTACAATGGGTGGAAAGCAGTGATTAAATTTACACTTCAAGGTGGAACAGCTATTATCCCACAAACGATAAGATGAACTGCTATCACCCCACGGACACTACCGCTCTAGCTGGAGAGCCCACAGTATCAGAGAGAGCCATCTGTCTACAGCCTATTCCTTAATAATGAAGCGTTGCTTGCTTGGAGCTTGAAACAGTCTTTGTAAGAGAGAAGAACCCCTCAGTTTAGAAGATAGGTCAGAAATTAACATACACAACCACAAGGACACACTCACCCACAGAGGCTGTGAGGCTGCGGCAAATGGGTACTAAATCGAACCTCCCCATTCATCTCTTCGGAAGCAAAGATGTGCTTAGGATCCTTCTTCTTGATTTTTTCATGCCTAAAAATTAAAATTCTCCATGGATATACTGACAATTTTACTTCTGTAAAGGGCCAAGTGAGGTTGGCATTAGCAAAAAGTGCCACATTCCAGCAGCTTCAAAAAACAAACTCTTTTTTCATGATAAAAAAGTCGTTTTTGAACAATCCACTTGGAACATCTGTCTCCAAGTGGGAGAGGGAAGCTCTTGCACTTAACTTTTTCTCTGGAAATGCTTTCACATCTGCCTGCAAGCAGATCCAGGCGGTGGCAAACAAAAGGATCAAAATGCAGCAATTCACCGACCACACTGGACATCGTGTCCATACATCCATGATACAGTTAAGATTTGGATTTGCATCAGTCATCCGGCAAAACCATCACACTTACCTTGACTTGAGAGAAACATAAAACACAGCGGTGTTAAAAACATAGCATTTTATTGGATTCAGTACTAGGAAAAGCATCACCAGTAAACTCTGCCTCAGTTTTTTCACCTTAGCTCACTTCAGCACTGGTTGGGACCTTTCCTAGAGTTCAGCTGCTGCCAGAGCAGTAGGATTTTCCAGTGCAAGGCCCACATAAGAACAGTCTGTGCTGCAGTCATCGGTCACTTATAAGCCAGGTGAACTTTTCACGCACTTGTGGGTTGCCAGCCTGATCTCTTCCCCAGGTAGCCCCAGATGAACTGAAACTACATCTATATGGCCTGCATGGTTTTCTTCCTTTTTAATGGATATAGATGCTTGGAAGGATTGTTTCTATCTCATTCAATTCATTAGTTTTCTGCTACTTATATTAGTAAATCAAATTCTCCATATGCTGGAAAAAAATGAGATAAACATGGAACTACTAAAATAATAAAACCTCAGGAGTTGAACCTGAGAAAAAACTCCTTCACTGTGAGGGTGACAGAGCATTGGAACAGGTTGCCCAGAGAGGTGGTGGAGTCTCCTTCCCTGGAGATATTCAAAAGCCGTCTGGATGTGATCCTGGGCAATATGCTCTAGGTGACCCTGCTTGAGCAGGGAGGTTGGACTAGATGATCTCCAGAGGTCCCTTCCAACCTAAACGATTCTGTGATTCTGAGTTAGCTGCTAAAAGGGGAAAGTATTGCTATATATTGGTTGTTCAACTATACTAACTTTTAAAACTAACACTCTCAGAAAAACTTCATAATTTACCTTATCTACCTCCAGTTATTATTTCAAAGCTCACAGAGAAGCCTTTTTTGTATTTGTTCTGTTGCAGAATCACCCTTATGAAAACAAAGTTTATAGACACCTGATATAGCAAGGTAAGAAATAAAGTGGAAATATAAAAATATATGTTTCTGCCCCTTTTTCTGGCCCTCAAAGAGCAATGAGAAACCTCCACATGCAGGGAAAAGTCTTTCAGTTATCACTTTATAAAAATTCTTTACAAACACATTTTCTTCAAAGCTAGCCTTTGAAACAGGCAACGGCCCCGGGAGGAACTTAAACAGCCAACTTCCTAACACCACCCTGCCTGTCCCTATGTATGGGCTATTTTTCCACTCTACTCAGCACCTCTTCTTCCAAACCTTTCAGAAACACCCCTCTAAAAGGCTTTTTACTAGTGGATTTAACAAATCAGTCAGCATTTAAAATCATACAACCCCATATCTCCAATGTTCTTTTCATCCTATGTTCTTACTACACAAGACAGGGTCTGCCTTTCCGTGTTCTACTTAATTGCTAACAATGAGTAACCTCAACACCTAGGTGAACAAAAGACTGTATGTCTCCTTCCCATACATTACATTTTTCTGACACTGCTGCTTCAACACCTTATCGTTTGACAGAGCAGTTTATAATTCCATTTTTTGGCTCAAATTTTCCTCCTGAAGGAATCATTATGACCAGGTGCTATCACACGATGTAATAAGTGCATAATACAAAATACGTAATAGCCAATCAACGTACTCACGATACCACAAGAGTATCAAAAGCCTCTGCAGAACTTACAGACCAACAGCCCCAACACTTAATAATACTTTTAATCATTCTGGTTCACACTGTCACTTCACTACAGACAGTAACATCATCTCTTGCAGAATAAACATCTTACCAGGTAAAAGGCTGTAGATTATGTAAGAAGGGTCTAAATCCTGCAATGCATTCAAACACCATTGTTCCAAAGCTCCAGTAATCAACAGTAACAGAGTAGGATTTATTCTCAAAGAGTTCTGGAGCCTAAAAAGTACCGTAAAAAGATACTTTGAACAGGGTATTTCAGATAATTTAATCTCTCTCACTTTTGGAGAGACAACACTGTGTCTATTTGTGAGCCCCCAGCTCTGGAGGGATGTGGAGACCCTCCCAAGCCCCCATGCAGGGTACCAGATTGGTCAGGGCCTCAAGCACCTGACCCACAAGGAGACGGGAGGGAGCTGGGCTTGTGAGTTTGGTTACAGGGAGGCCGGGGGGGTTGTCTGCGAGCAGCCCTCAGCTGCGAGATGGGCAGGGACAGAGCAGTCGGAGGGCGCCAAATCCTTCTTGGAAGCGACAGTCTAACAAGGGGCAACAGCCGCAGATCACAGCCCAGGGGGTTCAGGTTGGACATGAGGAAACACCTCCCGCAGAGGGGGAAGAGCCCTGGGACGGGTCACCAGGGAGGTGGGGGATCTGTCCTGGGGGTTTCAGGGCTTGGCTGGGTCAAGCCATGGCTGCCCAGACCTAGTGCTGGTGACTCCTGCTGTGAGCAGGCGGCTGGACAAGGGACCTCTGAAGGTTCCTTCTGACACCTACTTCTATGACACTATAAAATGTGCTAATACCAGATCAATTGTATGCATGCAAAAAAAAAAAAAAAAAATCTTACCAAATATTGTAATGTTCCAACAAATGATGTGCATAAACTTCCTTGATCCAGATCTTTGGCATATCCCAGGTCTATTATTTTGTGGACAATCTGTAAACAGTTCAAGTAGTTCATCAGAAGAGCAAATTCAGAACATATAACAAAAAAAAGCTGTGTGGTGACATCCAGAACATACACCCAAAAATGGGAAAGCCAGAATGGAAAAGTCTATGCCAAAGCTCTGAAATGCGTTACGGTGCTGATGTTTGCTATCCCACCATTTAAGCTGGCCTTGTTCACCTGTGTCTACTTAGACTTGACTTTAAATAAAGTAACTTGCCAGTTACAGTCCGTTATGGCCCAAAAGTGAATGAATTCTGCCTGGCTGAATGCAGAAGCAGGCTTTTTATTTTGGAATTTAAAGTTATTCGTTTAAACAGAGTAACAATAATGACCTTTCCTTTTTTTAGAAATCCATGACTACATGGATAAGCTCAGTTTTACAAGCAGCCCTCAAAGCCACAAACACAGAGATCCCGTACGCTACCATTTTATATCATTCCTATTCTGTTGCAGGCAGGGTTCCCGAATGGAAACAAAAGTTGATTGTTTTTAATGACAACATTTTAAGAGTAAGCAAAATAGCATTGGTTGTTTTAAGAAGATGTGAACTTTTAACAAACGTATTCTCAGCCTAATTCAATGCCATAAACCACTCACTCTCTTCTACTTCTCTCAGGCAACAGAAAACTACTAGCAACTTCCAGAAATGACAGCTGGAACACCAGTGATAGAGGCCATCTGACTTACCTTCCCACCTTCATCTTGAAGGACAATATTTTCAGGCTTTAAATCTCTGTGTATAATTCTGTTTTCATGCAAATACTGGATACCAGACCCTGAAAGGCAAGTATTTAAGAGAAAAAAGAGCACTGGTTAAAAACAAATCCAATAAAAGTCTAGTAGGCCTGATTTCAGCGTTGAATTCAGCAGTAAATCTTCCCTTAAAAAGAGCATTGAACATATTAATGACTTAAAAGAGTAGAAATGTCATATTTAAGCATATGGCTACAGGACTAAACTAGCTCTGTTCCTCTGCTCTGCAGAAGTTGGGGTTGCTAAGGAATTCAGATCTTGCAGCATAACCACAGGACATCTTGCCTTAAAGGCAAGAGAAACGGGAGCGGAATTCTTCTCAAACTTTATAGTTACAAAATGAATCACAACATGCAGACCAACAGAACAGACCTCCAAAACGTGCAGACAGCCTGATACAGCTCTGCGTGTCCTGTGTTCTCAGATCTCAGTAAATTAATGCAAGATAACAGGAAGATCTATACACATCTGTGAGTACATTATGCAAGATGTATTTGAAAGAAATCACTGAAATTAATTAAGGAAATGAAACAAGTCAAGTTTTACTTTGATCTAAAACTACTGCCAAATAGTGGCTTACAAAGCTTCTAGTAAACTTCCGTAGCTGTCAAAGCAATGCAGGAGGAACCACATTACCAAGGAAGGGAACATCCAGCTGTGATGAGACAGCAGCACGGTTAAAGCTCAAAGCTGAGTAAATAAAGCTGCCCCGTACCAGAAGCATCCTTCTTGGGCAGCATCTGGTTAATGCTGCACAGAGCAACTGCTCAAAGTGCCACTGACAACATCCAGATCAGTATCAGCAGCACTGAAACTGATCTCAAGGATTTCCCTCTCATGGCAAGGGTCTGGTGTGCTCAGAGTAGCATCACTTCTGTCACTCTCAATGTTAAAGACACAATACCGTGATTGCTTTAAGCAGTCTGTCAGTCTGTGTGGGAGCTATCCCCAGAAGGAACACTGGTTTCCCCCCACCTCCCAGCTGCAGTTTGCACGGCAGCACAGTTATGGGACTGTGTTGTCCTGGAAGTGATCCAGCTGAAAACGACTCAAGAAAGAAAATCAAGTTTTATCTACCCTGGTTTCTAGAACCAACTCCTGACGTGGTTATGGGAATGCTGGAGTAAGGGAGGGAATGGGAGCATGCACCCAAGAAAACGGAAAGGGAAGCACTTTGCTTTGTGGCAGCAGTCTATCTACACTTAAATTGCCTAGATGCGACTGTGGAGCTACTAACAAAAAAAGAAACTCAAGAGAATTTCTGCCTGAAGTTGTTGGTGGGGAAACATGGCTAGTCCATCCAAATAATGGCGCTGACTGCTACACAAAAGATTATCGAGCAAGTGTCTGTTACAGGACAAGGCCACCGACGAAACAGCAAAACAGACTTCCTTAAAATTGAGACTATTTTTTTGTGAAGTCACGTTTTTTTCAGTCTTGGAGACGTACAAGGGGAAAGAAAATAAAAGGTTCCATATAAGGCCCAAGCCAGGTATTGTAAATCTCATTACTTTTCCTATCTACATCAAGGGGTATCTTAAATTTTCCTACACAAAAAAAACATTTAGTCTGCACAACACGTTAATCCAGAAGCCTAGTGCTAACTAACCATGACTGTGAATTCCTTCTGGGATTATTTTAAGAGAAATATTCAACTAATGTGTTTTTTTCTGCAATTCAAGCACCCTGTCTGCATGTGGAAGAGGAACAGGGATAAAGGAATGAAGGAGTTGCACCTGATTTGGGGAACTTAACTGCAAGTTCTCTGAGTACTCAAAGGAGAGAAGCTCCTGTTAAAGAGTCTGTGAATGTGGAAAGGTCTTTGAGTTCTCAAAACTGATCTGCACATTGAACATTTTTGAGCTGGACTATTGCTAGGGATTTTTCAAGTGGCATCACACATGCCACTTAAAAATGGCTGATGAGGGCCAGCTTTAAATTGCCAAGATTTGGAGGCTGGTGAAGCCTTGAAGAAGTTACAAACAGGCATCAGGATACGCTAGCTTGTATCTAGGATTCTGACAGGAATGAAACTCCGGATGACCTGTCACTGACCACCATATCAAACAAGCACCCTGAGGAGGTCATGGCAGTAACACAAGGCTGGCAAATGGCCTTACAGAAAACAAACATCAAGTTCATTTTCTTATTGGAATTCATGTCCCCATACCCTTTTAAGGTCCTATCACTAGCCAGAAGAGACCCTGGACTAAATCATCACATCCTTTGTTCTCCAGACAAAGCACTCTCCTCCTACTTCAGAAGGAAATCGTTTTGGGAGAATACAATCCTCTCTCTTCTCCGTCTTTTGGGACACAGAAAAGCATCCCCTAAGAGTCCTGCCTAAAAGCCCAGGCCAGCTTCTTCATCCAGACACTTCTTCACCCTAAAAAATGGGTCTATTCCTACAAGTAAAGACCGGTTAACTGTAAGAGAATTAAGAAGACGAGGAGCTCTCCTGAGCAGCTCTCCTGGAAAGCCCACTTGTTACAGAAACCAAGGGAACTCATCTGTAGGCTTCAGCCTGAATCAGATGACTTGTCCTCCCCAGGGTGTCCAAGAAGCTGAGCACTTTTCCTGATAGACAGGAAGGCCAGTCTAAGGAGAATCTGTCATACTTTCTCTTTAAAGCAAGACAGCAAGTCACTACTTCGTAAGCAGTAGAATACACTGACAGAGGCTATCCAGATGTGGTGTGACTGCCACACTGGAGATATGCATCTTCTTACAGTGCTTTCAGCAGCCACGAATTTGGCATCAAGCATCTGTCAAAGTCTGAGCGATTACTACAGTCTTAGAAAAGAGCTTTTAAGTGGGTGCCCAGAAGATATCAAAGAAAATTGTTCTCTACTAGCAGTACTGTCCCCTTGGGCTACTCCCATCCTGTACGGATTTGCTGCCTACTCCCTTTCCAGTTAGCAAAACCCGAAATCCACATGATATTGGACACTTTCTACAATGCAGATCAAGTCAATCACTGGCTAATTGTCATCTTTTCATCACCCTGACTCCCCAAGCGCGGACTTGGAACCTTCTCTAGGGCCATACACAGCTGATTCACAGCACCACAGCAGTGTTGGCGGGAAGGAACATCCAGAAGTCTCTCCTCCAACCTGCTCATAGAAGGACAAGTCACCAATACCAGGTCAGAGTGACCACGGCTTTATCTAGATGAGTCCTGAAACTCCCTACCAAGGATGGAAATCCCTCATCTCTCTGTTGACCTGTCTCAGGGCTGCACCACCCTTCCCCATGTCCAATCCAAACATCCTAGGGTGCAACTTGTGGCCATTTGCCCCTTTTTATGCTGCCCACCAATATCAAGCAAAGTTTGGTCCCGTTCATCACCTTTTTACCTACCCTGCCCATAGTCACAGCCTGCTCTCAGACCCTTTCAGCCTCCCCTGGGCCACATCGAACAAGCCAGCTCTGTCTCATCAGCTTGTGAGTCGGGTGCTCCAGGCCCCAGCCAGCTTAGTAGCGTCTGCGGGGCGTCACCAGAACCTCCACATCCCTCTTTGACTGCGAGTAAAATGTGGATACTGTACCCAAACGTGGCCTCCCCAGTGCTGAGTGAAGGAAACTACAAACTTCATCGCGGTGCTAGCCACACTTTTCTTAACAGCCCAGTGTAACTGCTCTTTCAAAAGGAGAAGATTCTCAAATGTTTAGGCATGCTTATTTTGAGATAACCCACCTAATTAATCCTTAGTTGAAAGCAGACCATTAGCCAGAATATTGCTGGATTGGCCACAGCATGGTTGGCTTGTACTGTTCCCTTCCCCCTCTGCTATGCTCTTACCTATCCTGCTCTCAACTCTAATCCAGTTTATCATCTCCTCAGCCCAGTCATCCTGAACAAACAAAACTTCCCTCCCACTAGCAAACCCTACATAAAGAAGTCACACAGCAACTTTGGCGTTTCTCATGTTGGTTCTTGTTTTTAGGCTTGCAAAAGTTATGCTCCTTCAGCTGACGTGCAATTTGGCATCTCCAGAGCCATTAACAGAAGCAGGTGTCGAACCAAAAAAACTGTGACCTTAACGTCAGAGTTACCAACAATCGATCAACATATAGCTTTTCAAATCACATTCCACAGACAGGTCAGTGGTGAAAGTTTCTTGTCTTTATGATCGGCGGGGACACAAAGTCCTTCCTTCGGAACAGAAACTCGATTTGTTTTAGCAGCCTGTTTTTGCTAGTCCATTTGAAACAGGAAAATGCAATTAGACATAATAAATGTAAAAAACAAGAAAGACAATAGACTACGTACCAATATCACTAAGCAGAGAAAGAATTTGACTTTCCTTAAGGCCGCAGCAGTTTTCTGGTTTGTTCAGCAACTACAGAAAAGAAAACTGTGTTATGCCTGCAACGCAACAATTAGTAGTCAAGAACACCATCTTCCCTACCTGCCAACACCCCACAGAAAACCAGCACAGTTCAAATACAACCATAGTTGAATGAGGTAGTTGGCTTTGTAAACTAAAAGCATGAAAAAAAAAAAAAGAAAACAACTCAGACAAAAAGAAAATTCATTGCATCGGGACAGGGGTTGAAAGGAAGATTCGGACTCTTAGAATAAGACCACACAACCATGAAAATCATCGAAACTGAATTGGCAAGAGACACATGTAGGGCATATGGCTTCAGGCAACTGGGGGACCCAGCTTCCTGCAATCTGCCTGCTCCTCATCCTCTGAACTTTGGCTTGAAGGGATTTAGGAACACTCTGAATATCTGAGGCAGGTCTGCTGCTTGAAAGAACAACTGCTCTCCACTGTGGAAAATGAGACCAAGTGACAAAAAGCAAAAGGAACAGATGCAGACCTAAGCCCTAGGCATTCAGGAACAGGTAAAAGGATGAGGCTAACTCCTAAATTGAGTGTAGGCCACCCCACGGAAGGGAAAGCCATTACAAAGTCACTTACAGCTCCCAGACTGTCCTCCTGGCCCCGCACGCCTGCTTCTTTAACCTGGCTAAAGCAGCTGGTTATGGACTCTAACAGAGTCTGTTTTTCTCACTGTGCTGCATCCAAGCAATACCCTACGCTAAGGAAAAATCACCGAGGTATCAGCCCCCTCGAGAGGCTGCCGAACACCGCGGATGCCTCCTGTAGCCATCTGTAGTCAGTCTCTGCTCCCATAACGCTGCCTGAGCCCTGGAGGGGATGAGAAACAGCACTGGCCACCTACTCCACAGTGAGGCACCTTAAAAATGGCAAAAGGCATGCTCTCTGGTATCTCTCTCAGCACTGTCACCTCAAGCTGCCTCCAGGCTGTCTTAGACAATCCACCGAAAATTAGCTTCAGCGATCTCCAGTGTACTCCCTTGAGTCTATCAATGTGTGATTTCATTTTTCCCTTCATGGCTATATGGAATGCTTTCATAGCTGACCGAGGTACAGCTCTACACTGCAGCCACTACTCCCGTGATGTATCTTCATGTCTTCACCTGTCTCCTACATCTCAGGCACTCATCTCAGTAGTCTGACTTCTACGGGGAAGAAAACAAACCCCGACACCTCCCTCCCTGAGCCCTCTATTCTGGGTAGATGGGCTGAACAATAAAGAAGGAGAAGGGCCAAGCCAGAATTCAAACTCAGAGCCCACAGCATTTCCCTGAAAGAGCATTGTATAAAAACGTGCATGGCCCACAGGCAGAAGCACATGCTTTTCCAGGCTTTATGAAAGATCACAGATATACAATGAGAAATGAACTGCAGCACAAAATACAAATGATATCAAGCACGTGTAGAAAAAAGGTTTTAAAAAAAGAGATAGAGTAAGATCAGAAATAAGAAACCTTTTTTTAATAAGAAAAAAGCACTACATGTGATCAAATGAAATAAAGCATGTTACTTCCTAAACCATCCCAGCATTTATGTAACTTTCAAGGATTCACTACAAATTAAATAATCAAATACTGTATTGAAAGCAGAGTTATTGCAACCTCAAATTTCCTGGCCGTGGTTTCCCAATTTACCTGTAACTTTTCTCAAAACTTCTACTGCATAAATACAACACCCAAGCATCAACGAGAATTTGGCCTGCTCTATGTGTTTGCAACATCCAAATGCTATTTCATCGTGTATCTGCTTTCCTTTCACTGCTAATCTTTCAGTCTCTTTTAAAGAGTACCCCAATTGTTTTAAACAATGCTAGAAGAAAAAAAAAAAAAAAAAGCTAAATAAGTCTCAAACATGCAGTTGTTGCATTCAGCACGCTCTCATTAAAGTCCTTCTGGCTTTCTACAAATCCTTCCAGTCCATGACTTGTTTCTCCAAGCTGTCTGCTATTTAATGGTGGTTTTAGATATATATATATATTTTTTTTTTACTCTGTTTAACAGAAAAGAGCTTCCTGATCACTTAGATGAGGTGATTTCTAAGCAACCTTTAATCAGTGGAAATCTACTTGTTCATTCTCAAACAACTGCTTACTGAATCCAGCTGCAATGGAAAGGGAGCATAAAATCTGGCCATAAAGCCACTGCCTTTGTGAACTACTGAAACGTTCATTTACAGAAGGGCAGTTTCCGGTTTAGAAGGAAACAGGGAAGTCTTGAAAGTTTTAGCGGTCCCAGTCTAGCACAAGAGAATCAAGATCCTTCCTTGTAGCTGAAAACAACACAACACTGGACACCCGTGAATTAAAAACAGATCAGACTTCAAACAGATACAGGCACGCAGCAGCAAATTCAGTCATGGTGGGTGCTAACATCGAGGCTACAGGAAACGGCATTAATGCTGATGCGGTCCTATGAAAGGAGACACTACTTCAGGATAAAGTAATATCTGCCCTTGGATTATCCCCTCTATCACCTGGTCTCATAGCACAAGCCTCACTTCACACTTACGTTTTTTACTACACGTCTACCTCCCTCCACCTGCAATATACGTGGTTTCACAGACAATCAGTTAGGAAAAGAGCATTAACTCCACTCGTTTTCCTACGTGTGTCAAAGCAAAGCAGAACTTACCTTCCGGAGGTCACCTCCTGAACAATATTCCATTGCCAGAAGAGGAACGTCATTAACAAGAAAGTTCATCTCCTCGGGAACTTCACAGGCTCTTACTACATTGGGATGGTTCAACCTAGGCACACGGAGAGCCTGATGAAAAGTTTGACCCCTCTTTTGGGAGAGCAAGACTGCCAACCAACCGTGCTTTATGTTTCAGGTAAGATCTCCCCAAACTTACTGCTGCCCAGTACCGAAATGCATCAGATCCATACCTTGTGAATACACAAACCAGTGATGAGCAGAACATGGTCTCCAAGTCAAGATACAGGACTTGGATGATGGAGATCCAAGCTCAAGTTCTGGATTTCTGCACATTCTTGGCACAGTCATTTCATATGTGTTTCTATTTCTGCATGTAGAAGCAGTTTCCCTTTAGTCCAGAAGTTTTACAGGAATATGTTAACACTTGTGTAATTGTTCTATAGAAGTAGAACCACGCACGTAAAATAAATGTACGCTGGGAAGAAATCATTTGGGTAACTACATTCAAACAGCTTTTCCTCACTGTCTCAAAATATGCTATTCTCAGGAATAAAACACACATCTAGAAAGAAGATAAATTACTCCAACATACAAAGTCCAAAGTCTCTGGGAGTTACCACAAAAGACGCTGTAGAGGTACAATTCAGTGCCTATATTCAGACTATGAATATAGTTTTGCAGTGAAAACGTTGATAGAAACAGTGATCACCCAATACTGAATTGCAAACTCAGCTCTAACACGATACCTGCAAGTGGTTTCCTCCACTATTGATAACATAATGTGAAAGCAGCATGTATGTAAGCAGATCAGCGTGACAAGGGACAGTATGACCTCAGTAAAGCTCCATGCAGCATGGGTACAGCAAAGGGTTTTGAGTTGTTGGAGAACTACTCAAAATAAAACTCTGGAAGGGTGTCCTTGCTCCTGCCAGCAGGACTGTACATGTCATGCTACAGGATCTCCCTCGAGAGGAAGCAGTTCCCATGATGAGGAAACAGCTCCACGAGATCCCTGACACCCAGAGAAATAATTGAGCAACTCTGTCCATGAGGATGAATTTCACCTGCTCTGTTTCACAGGTATCTCAGAGTGACATGCTGGAGAGGGACTGCGGGTTGCCCAGGGTGAGTAACCTCTTCTTAAAAAGAGCTGGGAGACGTTACTCAGTAAGAATGAGAACGTCACAGAAAACGGTTATTCCCAGATCCCTAATTGCCAGATCACAGCCCGATGCACCGGCCAGTATAGAAGCACACAGGTGTCTGGACGTCACTATGTCCTGAGCAAACAGATGGACCAACACATAAGTGCAGGGGGGATGGTTATCACTAGGTCCCAATCCAACACGCTAGATGGTACATGAGAGCAGAAGGGCTCAGAACATCGGCAGATCACAGCCTGACACACCAGCTGGTACACCAGTGCAGAGGGGTTTGAATGTCACTAGATCCCAGCCCTAAACGCTGGTCACATAGGAGCCCAGGGGACCTGGCTGTCACTAGACTCCAGCTCCACACATCGGCTGTGCATGAACCCAGTGGGTCCGGCTGTCACTAGACCCCCACCCCACACACTGGCCACACGTGTGCAAGCGCTCTGACTCTCACTTAAACCCCTATTCCACATACTGGCCGTATACAAGCCCAGGGTGGGAAGGCTGGCTATCTCTAGAACCCTTGTCCCACACCCCAGCCACATGCGAGCCCGGAGGGGCTGCCTGTCACTGCAGACCCCCATATCACACACAGGCCATACGTGACCACAGGGGGCTGGCTGTTACTAGATCCCCCTCCCACATACTGGCTGAATGTGACCACAATGGTCTGGCTGTCACTAGACCCCCCCATGCGAAACACTAGCCCCATGTCAGCCCAGGAGTCTGGCTGTCACCAGACCCCCATCACACATACCAGAGAAACGCGGGCGCTGGGGTCTGGCTTTCGCTAGACTCCCATGACACGTACCAACGGTAAGGGAGGCCAGGGGGCTGGCTGTCACTAGACCCCCACTCCACATACCAGGGGCTGGCTGTCACTAGACCCCAACCCATGCACTGGTCAAATGCAAGTACAGGGGGGTCCAGCTGTCACTAGACCCCCACCCCACACAGCAGCCGAATCAGACCCAGGGCGCTGGCTGTCACCAAACCCCCACTCCACATACCAGGGTCCGGCTTTCGCTAGACTCCCATGACACGTACCAACGGTAAGGGAGGCCAGGGGGCTGGCTGTCACTAGACCCCCCACTCCACTCAACAGGGTCTGGCTGTCACTAGACCCCAACCCATGCACTGGTCAAATGCAAGTACAGGGGGGTCCAGCTGTCACTAGACCCCCACCCCACACAGCAGCCGAATCAGACCCAGGGCGCTGGCTGTCACCAAACCCCCACTCCACATACCAGGGTCCGGCTTTCGCTAGACTCCCATGACACGTACCAACGGTAAGGGAGGCCAGGGGGCTGGCTGTCACTAGACCCCCCACTCCACTCAACAGGGTCTGGCTGTCACTAGACCCCAACCCATGCACTGGTCAAATGCAAGTACAGGGGGGTCCAGCTGTCACTAGACCCCCACCCCACACAGCAGCCGAATCAGACCCAGGGCGCTGGCTGTCACCAAACCCCCACTCCACATACCAGGGTCCGGCTTTCGCTAGACTCCCATGACACGTACCAACGGTAAGGGAGGCCAGGGGGCTGGCTGTCACTAGACCCCCCACTCCACTCAACAGGGTCTGGCTGTCACTAGACCCCAACCCATGCACTGGTCAAATGCAAGTACAGGGGGGTCCAGCTGTCACTAGACCCCCACCCCACACAGCAGCCGAATCAGACCCAGGGCGCTGGCTGTCACCAAACCCCCACTCCACATACCAGGGTCCGGCTTTCGCTAGACTCCCATGACACGTACCAACGGTAAGGGAGGCCAGGGGGCTGGCTGTCACTAGACCCCCCACTCCACTCAACAGGGTCTGGCTGTCACTAGACCCCAACCCATGCACTGGTCAAATGCAAGTACAGGGGGGTCCAGCTGTCACTAGACCCCCACCCCACACAGCAGCCGAATCAGACCCAGGGCGCTGGCTGTCACCAAACCCCCACTCCACATACCAGGGTCCGGCTTTCGCTAGACTCCCATGACACGTACCAACGGTAAGGGAGGCCAGGGGGCTGGCTGTCACTAGACCCCCCACTCCACTCAACAGGGTCTGGCTGTCACTAGACCCCAACCCATGCACTGGTCAAATGACATCACAGCACCCCCCCGGCGTGACATCACAGCACCCCCACCCACCCAACAGGCCCTGTGGCATGAGAGCTGCCGCACCCCATGCGCCACTCTGCTTCACCACAGCATGAGGGAGGAGAGAAAAGGGCAAAAAACACCAAACCCCCAAACCTGCCAAACTGCAGCGGAAAGCTTTTCCGGATGCGGTGGAAAAGCTTCTCGCCCGTGTCCAGCTCCACGTAGAAATAGGGTGTCCCCGGCTGGGCTACCTAGGTGGGGGAAGAAAGAAAGGGGGGGGGAAAAAAAAAAAAAAAAAAAAAAAGAAGATAAAAGCTTGCTGAAAGATGGAGCCCAGAAAAAGGGTCCCTGCTGACCTCCAAGCAGCAGGGAACTGCCAGCTGTCAGGCCCCTTATTGCCTCAGGGGAGCAAGGGCAGCTTTTAACAGTGGCAGGGCAACACTGACTATTTTCACGCCAGTCTTCCAAGTAATGTTAAATTCATCTTGGTATTTCAAATGGGTTCTAACCCAACAGCGGAGCAGAATAACTACCCTAGTTCTGTTATTTAAAAATGACAGGGTTTCATAAGAGACTGGCTTTGAACTACAGCAAGAAAAGTGCATTTTTTGGACACTGTAACAGATGTCGATGACTACACTTGGATGATTATACTTGAACCGTGATTCAACTGAATATTAGAGTTAAGGAAACCCAAGCTTCCTGTGGATTCTTCTGCCAAGACTGACCCGAGACCATGCAGATCCTGAAGTTTAAATGTGCCTATGCACCAAAAAACCCCCCAGGGCTTTACCCTGTGGGTTGTCCAGTCCTGGCTGAGTTCACTCCAAAGCCTTTTCATCAATGAAACACCAAAAAAGGCCCTCTCCTAACTATTTCTTGTGAGTAGCCATGTCCTAGAAGTCGGCCCCACTCTGTCAAAGAGCTGATGCTTCCTAACAAGGAGGACCCTAGCTGTGTTTTAGTTTCCTTTGCAAAGCAAATTGAAAGTCAGATTAGAACACACAAACAGGAACAAACTGGGTCAATGGTAGATCTCAAAACATAGCTCATGACAGATGTGAAGCGATGGATTGCTTTCAGCCGGGATCAGTTTGTACACTTGCATATGGAGCACCATGAGCACAATGCTACATTTTTGTGGACTAATTCTGCAGAATGACACCTCTAGTAAGAGTGATCATAATTGCCTAGCTAAGTCATCCCAAGCTAATACAGCATATTGTAGATAAAAAAAAAAAAAAATCACATGAGAGTAAATTTACACTTCTCAGCTAAAAAAAAAACCCTAAGTTTTCTGACACAGATATAAATACTTGTAATAGCTTAGAAAGTAACTAGCATAAATATGTGCTGTTTCTGGGTCCTGCTGCAGATATGGTCTCCCTGTGATTATTGGTTACAGAGAAGCCTATATCACTAGACTAATTTCTCTGGTACAACAGGAATATTTCTTCCAAATCCTGATCCAAGGGAATTTAAAGCTACCTGCTTTGCACTGACACAGAAAGGGCTGCTTTGGTATCACTAGCAGTGAGTGCAGCAACCTGTGCACAGAGCTGGGGTAGCAGGGCAAGGGTTATCTTTTACATTCCTGTCCTCAAAGTCAGATTTCTGCCTTACCTTTCTGCCTAACCTATATTTGGAGTTTCTCCTCGAGTAAACACTCAGCTGCTCCGAGAAAACTAAAGGACATCTTCGTAAATCGCACCAGGATAGCAGTGCTATCTAGTGCACCTAGCAGCATAGGCTTCATTCATATGAAAAGCAAGTATTGATCATCTTGGAGCGCCTAAGGTGTATAACTGCTGTAGGCAGATAAAGGCCTTAATTTGCAAAGAAGCAAATCATCTGTCATTCACTGTGACTTCATCCAGAAGTGAAAACCTCGGGCATATCTGCAACTCAAGTCTATGGCAGTCTACCTCCAACAGCTTAGTCTTACCATGCAAAGCGACCCCAGAGTGAAATACCAGCTTAGAAAGGATTGAGGTGAGGTAAACGACAGGTGAAATCTTGTCTCATACTTGCTTGATATCTGAGTGCTCTGGGATCTCTAACAATTCAATCTGTTGTTCCTGTGCCTGTACAATAAAGGACTCTTTAATGTCTTCAGAAGTACAGAGGTCCAACGGGACAGGAATCACCTGGAGAGCATGGACAACATTTTCATAACGAGAAAAGACAAACCATTTACTCTCAGAAAGCAATAAATCCATCACTGGAGCTGGTATGCTCCTCAGTACTGCTCGTCATCATCATATAAGACAGGTGAGCACCTATCTATACAGGCTTAAACTTATGAGAGATTTTTCTGTAGGAGTTGAACAGAAAACTGAAAACTAATAGCCTGAAAGAGTTCTCAGAACGGTCACCCTCCTTTCTGATCTTTGTGGTAGTTTAAGGCCGCTCTGATACAGTTACAGATCTGCCAGATACAGAAACCACCACAATAAACCACCAAGTGATTAACATACAGGAAACAATCAAATCAAAAGGTTATTCATTGTCTACCAATACCAGAGCTCTGCAGGTGTATTTCTAGATTTTCAGCCTACTTCAGTTACAGCATGAGTACCACAGTTCATGTGCCAGTATGAGCGGATAAAAGTACGAGCAAAGTCTTCCAACTCATCTGTACACATTGTGAGCTTTTTAATCAGGGTCATGAGGGGAAAAACAGTTGTATCTCACTCACTCTACACAAATCAACCCTGTGCCTGCTGTAACAGGAAAAACAAGGACTGCGGCAGAATAAGCACCCAGGCTTTGTTTTTGTTCTGCCTCTATCCTTGGGTAAGATGATTTCTATCCATACTCTGTGAAGGCACAGAGGAAAGAGGGAAGTTTGAGAGTGAGCCGTCTCTTTCAACATACTGGCATGTAAGCTCAGGTTGCGCTCTTCTGCTATTGTACTCAAATCATACCTGTAACTGCAGATGCTGACTCCTATAGTTTC